TGGGTAGTTTTAATAACTAGCATGATATCGCTAGCTGAATTATCGCGTTTAGTTTTTTTATTGGAGGAGTATAAAATTGTAATAAAATTTAGTGTTATAAATTAGTATTATACAGTGAAATTAGTTAATTTTAATTACGTATTTATTACATTTATTTTGGAGCAATGTTGTGTAGTGAGACTTTAAAACAGAGCTCGAGTCGCGACTCGAGCCTCGGAACTAGGGTTCGAGACTGGGCTTGAGCCTTCGAAGTAAAGCTCGAGGCTGCAGCTCGAGGCTTCATAGGAGGCTCGAGCCTTGAATGAGTCGAAGACTCGGGAGACTCGAGTCTTTTAACAACACTACTTACTATAATAAACAGAATTTCGAGATCATTTTAACGCAAACATTACAATCGCAAATTCATAAGATAACAATCTGGAGCTTGGTAACGCGAATTAAAATGCAAATAGAACTTATTTAAGAAGGTAATTATTTGGTAATTAATAAACGTCTTGAATTAAGTAACTTGCCTACATTATTTTCAACAGTGTTTGTTAGGTTGTACTATTTTAATCGACTTATAGAACAAGAAGGATGCTTATGTCGGTTTTTAACGTAATTTATTGAAAGTTATTTAAATGAAACAAACTATGTATTTGAAATGAAATGTTATTTATTTCTGCAAATAGGTTACAAAGTAACACGTCACTGTTACACGTCAATGTTTAAATTACTAGATGAGAACCAACATCTCCTAACTGACTACTCTGAGATGAATCGCCGAAACAAACTCGGAGGTCATTGTCTCTTTTAAAGTCCAGATAGAATCTATCATGTGGGAAAATCGTGCAAGTTAATTTTGTAGTGGTCTTTTGAGGAAAGATCCACAACAGTTTATTTTTGTTAGTTTATTTATTTATTTAATTAGGTATTAATATGTGTGTAATCATCACAAAATCCTCCTCCTCCTAATCCTCAGGCATAATGCCATCCCAGTTGACGATTTCCTTAGTGTACCAGACATATTTTCCTTTGATAGTGTCTGGTGCATCCAGTGCCAGGTACAGCGGTGCTGCCGCGCCTTCATCTGGTGTCAGGGGACCCTCAAATGATGACATGTCCGTAGCTACGTAGCCAGGATATACGGAGTTCACTTTTATATCTGTGAATTGTATTCATATTCAGCGGGCTGTTCATAGTTCACATCATGGTATCTGTGTTGTGTCCAATAAGTAAATATCAGATCAGAGTTCATGGGAATCATAACTGGCAAAATGTGCAGGATTATCAGAGGCCCTTAGTACGAGATTCATTTACGTATAAAGTAATCGTACGAGTATGCGTTCGGCACTCTGATTGGTTGGTTCATTGGCGCCGGCCAATCAGACTGCCAAATGCGCACTCGTTTCGAATACTTTAAACGTAAATGAAACTCGTACTAAGGCCTCAAATCTAGTAAGAAGACAGATGAACTATGGAACAGATGAAACGGATTACAGATAAAGGACATCTACTAAATGCATGTAAAAACACATGTAAGCTAATCCCCTCGAGAGAAAAATAGAGTTCTAATAATCGTATTCGTCTTGTTTATCAGTTATATAAAAACGTTCATTTTTTGTAGAAAAATATACCTAGATTCTAGAACTATCTACAGTCAGACTAAAAAAGTTTAGGTACCTCTACTATTCAGTATTCTCTGTTGAATATTGGTCAGCGCGGTCACGCCCACTTTGGACACAGCATACGAGGAATTCCCCCACTCCGCAGCCTGGGTTCCTTGCTTCACAGCATCTACATACTGCCGCATCAGAACCGACAGCTCCGCAACAGTCAAATTCTCATCTTTAAGACGATTCCGCAATTCTACGCTGGGAATGTTGCTCAAATGACCAAAAGAACTGGAGATGTTAATAACTCTCGCACCATTTTTAAGTATCGGAAAGAGTATATCACATGAAGATACCAGAGAAAAGTAGTTTACGAATAATGTTTGTTCAGCCTGAACCGACAGCGGTTCCTTAGAGCTGCTCTTAAACAAAATGCCAGCATTATTAATCAGTATGTCGATTCCGTCATAATTCTTCTTGATGTGGTCTCTAAAAGTCTCGAGGCTGAGTGTGTCGGTTATGTCGAGCTGGTGGTAGCGAGGGCGCAGACCCTCGCGCTCCAGTGCCGCCACAGCCGCGGCGCCTCGTTCCGCGCTGCGCGAGGTCAGGTACACAGCACCCTCGAACCGCTTGCACAGCCCGCGCACTATCGCGAACCCGATACCTTTGTTCGCTCCCGTCACTACGGCTACTTTTGTCGACATTTTACGAATCTATCGTTTGTTTAAAACTAATTTCAAATGAAGGCACCTTTATATTTATAAGTATAGAAATGCCTACATAGTGGTCAGATAATAATATAATCAAACCAATGTGGTTTACCTCAGCAAATGCAGGAAGGCCGAAAATAAACAAGAGATAACATTCCACCAATATTTATTTATCAAATATTACAATTAAAACACAGAAATAACAATCAATATAAAATACGTATTTCAAAAAATATACTTCGATCAACATGTTAGGCATTAAAGAGTTTAAAATACAGTTTCAATACTTAGTAAATTACATAAAAGTATTTAAAAAGTATGTTTAATCATCTCTTAAAACTAATGTATTGTGTGATGGGTAACACATATCAATTGGGTTTATCAGACCTGTGATTTTCTTAAGTTTTTAATGATTTTATATTTAATTAACTTTAGCTTAGCTTAGCTTGTAAAGAAAAATGCCACGGGAAATGTCCCTAAAGGGTCCCGGTCCCAGGTAAAAAGTGATATTTTCTATAGATAGCTTTGTCAATGGAGTTTGAATCGCCAATGTTTATTTTTGTTGAACGTTTTCGTAACCTACAAATTACTCTCTCTCTCTTTGATTTAAAAATATTCAGTTGGGTTAATTGCGGACAAGCCTTGCGGGGTAAATACGAACGTCCGCAATTACCCCTAATTCGATAAACTATTATGAAACTAATCAATAACTGCTCATTTTTAGATGCCTCGGAAAGATATAAGAAAAAAAGAACAGTCATACACCATCAAATTATTACAAAAAGCCGTGTAAGAAATAAAAGACCGGAAGATAACTTTTCGTCAGGCGGAAGAAAAATATGGTATTCCCAGAGCTACTTTGTTTGACCAAGTGAAAAAAGGCTATGTTTCTACATTACCAAAGAGAGGTTAAAAACTGTTTTTAACGAAATACAAGAAAACGAACTGCTTGATTTTATTTTAAAGTCATGTAAGGCTTTCTTTGGGATAACAATACCTACTCTAAGAAAGATAGCTTTCGATTTTGCCACCGCAAACAACTTAAAACATAATTTCAATAAAGAAACTGGTATGGCAGGAATGGATTGGTATTACAATTTTTTGGCCAGACATCCAAACATATCACTTCGAAGGCCTGAAGCTACCTCTATAAATAGAATTACCGCATTTAATGAAGAAGAAACCGATATATTTTTTGTGAATCTGAAAGCACTCATGATTACATACAAATTTAAATCTGATTCAATTTACAACATAGATGAAACTGGGATTAGTACAGTACAACGCAATTCCAGGATTCTTGCACCAAAGGGACTAAAACAGGTTGGAAAATGTACCAGTGCAGAACGTGGTTCTTTAACTACAGTCGTGAACTGTTTTAATGCTGGAGGCTCGTACATCCCACCATTTTTTATCTTTAAAAGAAAAAGGATGAATGCTCAGCTTATGAAAGATAGTAATAGCAACATGGTAGCTTGTATTTCGGACTCTGGTTGGATCAATGAATCGATATATATTGATTGGCTCCAGCATTTTAAAGGATTTGCTAAACCATCGGCTGACAATCCCGTTTTGTTAGTTCTAGACAACCACGAGAGCCATATTAGTCTGAAAGCTTACGAGTTCTGTCGTAAAAATTTTATCCATGTTTTGACATTGCCTCCACATACATCGCATAGAATGCAGCCATTAGACTTGACCTTTCATGGACCACTAAAACACAATACAATAGAGAATGTGAAACCTATATGGTTAATCATCCTGGAGCAAAAATTACAGCATTTGATATTGTTGGTCTTTATACAAAAGCTTTTTTTAACCGATGCTCGTTTATTGATAAAGCTATAAATGGCTTCAAGAGTGCTGGAATTTTCCCAGTTGAACAAGATAAATTCAAGGGCACTTTCGAAAGTTTCGGTGATATAATTACATCAGAAACTCCATGTGATACCAGCCAGGTGGGTCCTGATCATGACAGCCAAAGAGAGTTTCATAGCGAATCTCAAATTAGTGATGCAGCTAATAACAGTATTCCTAGTGAAGTAAGATCTCAACAAGAGTCTCAGCCCTCTAGTAACATAAACATTATTAATGAATCCGTTCCCAATTTATCTGATCAAGACGAAATAAATGAGAATAATGCTGAAATAAGTGAAGCTGATTTATACCAATGTACGACAAGTCAAACAAGCCAATCGTCATCAGTACCGCTTAGTGATTTAATAAAGGTCATTAAACTCTACAAATTCATCGTAGCAAACGGGCAGTACACAAAAAGCATTCCATAATTTTTACCAGCACACCGGAAAAAAAGAATCTAGAAGAAAAGGAACAAAAGAAAGTAGATAAAAAAAGAAAAGCTCAAGAAAAAGAAAATAAAACTACATCTAATAAGCTAAAAAAATCAAAACTTTCTACAGGAAAAGGATCAAAGGGTGTAAGAAATCTGAATAATTTTGAAAATGAAGAAAATGTTGATTACTTTTGCATTTATTGTCAGGAAAAGTACAGTGATCCACCCGCCGAAGACTGGATTATGTGTTGAAAGTGTAACAAGTGGGCTCATGAGAACTGCACTGAAGGAAGTTCTTCTAAAGGCTTTACTTGTGATTTCGATGATGTGGACCTAGTCCGTAAATACCCCATGCTGTCCGTAATTAACCCAGGGTCCGTCCGAATTTACCCCGAGCGCTGAAAATATTCTATTTGTTGATTGATCTCGTTTAATAAGTGTAAGTGTTTTTGTAGATGTATAACTAAAGATAAAGACAGACTGATTATTACTGATAGTACGAATGTTGTGCGTTATTTCCCTTCAGCGTCCGTAATTCCCCCATCCTCCCTATTAAAAAACCCCCGTGATCCTTCCAAAAAATCCCCAAACCATAAACCCCTAGTAAGTTCCACTTCCCCAAGCCCACTCAGACACGCATTCCATAGATTCTGAAAGCAACAATAATCAAATAAGACCTGCAGGTAGAGGGCGACTCTACCTCCCGTAATTTTTCATTTTTCTTTTAAGGACTTCCAGAAGACTGCCTATTCTCCACGGCCCTGTATACTTATTCAACCACCAGCGCACAGTGTGGTATTTGAACGATCTGGGAGGCAATAAGTCCATTTTACAAAACTTAATGTGGGTAGAAGTATAAAGTATCTCGTAAATGTTTACTTACCAATGCACCTCAAACTGTCATTATTTTCATCTTAGTTGCAAAAATTTACTTGTGTGGTCAGTCGGAATTTCGTTGTCATTTAAGAAATATTGTTCTTGTGTTTTATTTAAAAAAAACGTTTACTTATAATTGTCAATTATTTTGTTTTGGATTATAATTTCAAGTGAAGTGATATGGATTATGTTATGGCAGGTTAGTGTCTACACTTAACAAATATTTTTAACAGGGTCGATTACTTTATGACTGTTGGACAATATTATTTACGTAACCCTTTAACAATATCATAATTTGCATATATTTTGAAATATTGAGGATAGTAAGTAATACTTCCCGGGGTTTCCCGGCAAAATAAAAGAATGTACAACAAACTTTGATTATTGACGTATAAGATTTCGTTTAAAACGGTCACGGAATCACTTGATTTTTGGAAAACAGGGTGTCCAAACTTTTTAATGTGAAAATGTTATTTATTTCATACATTGTATTTTTTGTATCTTTAGAAAATTTATTTATTGTAGGGCCGTCCAATGTCAAAATTATGACTCGATTGGAGTTATATGAGTTGATGCAGCGACAAAATTTGCCGAATATCAATGAAAAATTGGATTTCATCGAAAATTATCTCATTGGTTATGATGATTACACTGCTGACCAAATTAAGGATATTAAGCAAAATTTCTCACGCTTCAAGTCCGAAATGAAATCTAGATGGGCTGCGGCATATAATAAAGAGCAAATTTTCATTAAAAGGAATCAAGATTGGTTGAGCGGTACATTTACGATTCCAAAATTAACTAGCCGGCCGGGGCGTCCGAAAAAATTATTCGAAGAATCAGGTGAAAGAAGCAAAAGGCAAAAAACTGAGGAATTAAGAAGCTCTGTAGAATTGAATGTGCTGACTCATGCTGCTCAGATACAATTGTCAGCTTCTGGCAAGAGGGATGCTGCTAAAATATTAAAAGAAATAATTAGTTCACCGAAACGGGCTACGAAATACAAGCGAGCGTTTTCCGAATGTGAGAAAAGAGACCAAACAAGAACTCAAATGACGCCTACACAAGCGTTGTCGCTGTTTGTTGAAGCTAACCTTTCCAAAAGTCAATATGAAATGATAAGAAATGCTAACAAAAAAATATATCCTTGTTATAGCATTATACAGAAAGCTAAAATGGAGTGCTATCCGGACAAGGAATCAATTAATGTTACAGAAACTTGTGCAGAAATAAATATTAAAGCGTTACTTGATCATACATCAAAGCGATTGTTGATGCATTTGGGCGAAGTTTTAGAAACATTAAATGACGAAGAACGGAACGCACTAGAAATGAGATGCAAATGGGGTTGTGATGGATCACAGCAGGCTCAATATAAGCAGACATTCAGGAATATTGCCGATTCAGATGCATATTTATTTCAAAGCTCATTTGTGCCACTACAGCTCATATGTCTCGCAAATAACAAAGTGATTTGGCAGAACCCAACACCGTCATCGCCGCGCTATTGTCGACCTATACGGATACGATTCGTGAAGGAATCGACTGATATTACCCTTCAAGAAATTGAGCACGTAAAAAATGCAACTAATGCCATAAACACCTCAGTGATATCTGTGCAAAACAACAATTATTCTATCACATACGTAATGATGCCCACCATGGTAGATGGTAAAGTATGTAACGCTGCTATGCAGACCAAGTCTACTTTGCGATGTTATATTTGCGGATTAACATCAAAGGATTTCAATGATTTAACGAAAACAAGAGATGTTAACCCAGAAGCACTGCAATTCGGATTGTCTATCTTGCACATCAGGATCCGTATATTT